GTGTACGGTAGGCTGACGCCGACCGATGCAGCCAACTATGCAAAGGTGAAAACTGCTTTGCTGAAGCGATTTAGATTTACTGTGGAAGGATTCCGGGACAGATTTCAGACAGGAAAGCCAGCTGATGGTGAGACGGCTACGCAGTATGCCGCCCGACTTTGCCATTATTTCGACAGATGGATTGAACTTTCAGGGACAGCGCAGGAGTACGATAAGCTTAGAGAGCTCCTTATTAGAGAGCAATTTCTTACTAGTTGCCACCCAAGCCTGTCGCTGTACTTGATAGAGAGGAAGGCTGAGTCACTTGAAGGCATGCTTGAATTGGCTGATCAATTCTTGGAAGCGCAAGGTGGCACTAATTTGGCCAAGGTCAAGAAGGAGTGTCCCGAAGATTCGAAAAATTTGGCACCCGAACAAAAGAAGCGTGCACCGGAGAGTGTTCCGCGATGTTTTCTGTGTAACCGAGTGGGTCACCGCGCTAACCACTGTCGAACTAACTTCACGAGCCCTACGGTTGTAAAATGTTTCAAATGTGGTCAGACTGGGCACAAAGCAGATGCTTGTCGTAACGGAGCGAGTCAAACTCACCAGGTATCTTGCGTGCTAGCAGCACCGACACCCGATGATGATGCCGTCACCGACGGATTCGTAGAGTTGAAAAATGGGGAGAAACTTCCTATTGTGGGTGCTGTAATGACAAAACAACCAACCGGTGTTACGAAGGGAATGCCAACACTGCCTGGAAAAGTTGCGGGCAGGAAGATTACGGTGTTAAGAGACACCGGTAGCTCCACGGTTATCGTGTGGAGAAATTTGGTACGGGAAGGTGAGTTGACAGGCAAAACGAAACCGGTTTGCCTAATTGACAGTACGGTTCGGATGCTTCCCGAAGCAGAAATTGAGGTTGAAACCCCGTACTTCAGCGGGAAGGTTACGGCTCTATGCATGACGACCCCCCTGTACGACCTCGTCATCAGAAACATCGACGGGGCGCGAGGGCCGAATGATCCAGAATGTTTGGGGGAAGACCCGAAGATGGAGCCCCCGCCGACACAGGGACCGCGAGATACAGCAGAGAACAATCGCGTGAAGGATTTCACTCGAGCCCAAGGTGAAGCCTGGGCGCAAGAGACAGTGAATGAGAACATCATCGTATTGAATGAGTTTACGTGCTGGGCAGCTGGACTTATGTCAGCTCAACCTCAACCGACCGACAGTGTAAAAGTGACGGAGTCGGCCAGCCATGCCCAATGTCGTGACATAAACAAGCGGGTGACAGGATCGGTTGAATGTTATGACCCGTTAACGGTGTCGAAAGTGACAACGATGGCTGAGACGCCGCCTCATATACCATCGGTGGAAAGGGCTCGCCGGAACAAAACGAGGAAAAACAAGAAAAGATCGAGCGAGCACCGCAAGAAAGGACGCAAGCGCAGCTCGAAGTACACGGTATAGGTGTTGAGGTCAAATTGGAATGTGTTTGACAGTGCTATATGTTAAGTTAATGTGGTTGTTGTCCTGTGTCGCAACTGTATGTCGAGTGAATCAAAATTTTTGTTACGGTGATGTGATGTATAGTATGGTACAATTGTTGTAAAGACAGACCTTTGTACATTTGTATTGCTTGAAGTATGTGATGGAGTATTGTATTCATGTTATCATCATCATCAGCCTGACTACGTCCACTGCAGGACAAAGGCCTCTCCCATGTTCCGCCAGTTAACCCGGTCCTGTGCTTGCTGCTGCCAATTTATACCCGCAAACTTCTTAATCTCGTCTGCCCACCTAGCCCTCTGTCTCCCCCTAGCCCGCTTCCCTTCTCTGGGAATCCAGTTAGTTACCCTTAATGACCAGCGGTTATCCTGTCTACGCGCTACATGCCCGGCCCATGTCCATTTCCTCTTCTTTATTTCAACTATGATATCCTTAACCCCCGTTTGTCCCCTAATCCACTCTGCTCTCTTCTTGTCTCTTAAGGTTACACCTACCATTTTTCAACTGCTACCATAGTGCTTCATAAAGAAAGCAACAGAATACCAATCAAGAAGGGTGTGAGGCAGGGGGACACAATCTCCCCAACGCTATTTACTGCGTGCTTACAGGAGGTTTTCAGAAGCCTAGAATGGGAACAGTTAGGGATAAGAGTTAATGGAGAATACCTTAGTAACCTGCGCTTCGCCGATGACATTGCATTGCTGAGTAACTCAGGGGACGAATTGCAACTCATGATTATGGAGTTAGACAAGGAGGGCAGAAAGGTGGGTCTTAAAATTAATCTGCAGAAAACGAAAGTAATGTACAACAACCTCGGAAAGGAGCAGCGCTTCGAGATAGGTAATAGTGCACTTGAAGTTGTAAAAGACTATGTCTACTTAGGGCAGGTAATAACCGCAGAGCCTAACCACGAGATTGAAGTAACTAGAAGAATAAGAATGGGGTGGAGCACATTCGGCAAGCACTCTCAAATTATGACAGGTAGATTGCCACTATCCCTCAAGAAGAAGGTATATAACAGCTGTATCTTGCCGGTACTTAGCTACGGAGCAGAAACCTGGAGACTTACAAAGAGGGTTCAGCTTAAATTGAGGACGACGCAGCGAGCAATGGAAAGAAAAATGGTAGGTGTAACCTTAAGAGACAAGAAGAGAGCAGAGTGGATTAGGGGACAAACGGGGGTTAAGGATATCATAGTTGTATTCATGTACCTGTGTCTATATTCTATGTGTTGTGAGATTGAATTGCAATGTACAATTGTATTGAGTGATCTATTGTGAATGTGACGTGCCATGAGCGACGGACTATGTTACAGTCTCTGAGAGTGTGGGGACTGTTCGCGCTCGTTTGTGTGGTTTTGAATATTATGAGATAATATTCTTAAAGTGGGGGGCAGTGTCACAAACCGAGCGCTCAAAAAAACGTGCGCGCCGCCAAATTCTCGCGACGAAGCGCCGAGAGGTCAACGATAAAAAAAAAAAGAGAAAACAAGCATCCAAAGACTCCCCGGGCGCGCGTCCTTCTCCCCTCGGAAGCGTGGTTTCGCCGACGAACCTCCTCTCTCATCGGCGCCCGAGCAAGCCCGGGAATGTTCTAGATGGAAAGGGGCGGGGTGATGCCGGGTTGCGTCATCCTTCGCGGACGGCTTTCGAACCGTCTCGCCCTTTCCCCAGCCTTCGCTGCGTATCGCGCCAACGAAATGATGAGAACTTTCTGGAATCTCGCGCGGAAGGTATTTAATCGAGCAGCCGAGATGGGAGATCAGCAGAAGAAGGAAGTTAACGCCAGAGTGCGTAGGGTATCCCGCCGCGTCTGTCGGTGAAGGTTTTCTCCTTAGTGACAAAGGAGGAGAAGACGGAAGTTAGCGCCAGAGCGCGTAGGGCATTCCGCCGTGTAGTCGGCGAAGGTTTTGTCCGTAGTGACAAAGCAGGAGAAGAAGAGGATTTCCACCTGAGGGGTGAAGGCTCGAGCTACAGGCAAGAGCGTGTGTCTACCGCTATCGAGCGAAGACGCGTGGCAACAGCTGCGAATGTGAAGCCGACGTGTTTCCGGCGAAGAAGTTTGAAGCTTGGAGAGCGGCCAAGTGAAGTCGTGAGGTTTCCTGGAAGAGAAACTTCGGGGACAGCGAAACGACAGAGGTTTCCTGGGAGAGAAACTTCGGGGGCAGCGGAACGACAACAACGCTGGACTTTGAGTGAGTGATTCTCGGAAGAGTATAATCCACTTGGAAGAGTATAATCCAGACTTTTATTCCAAGAACTTTGGACTGAATAGGTTTTCTATCTCTTTAGTCTTTAAGTGTCTTGGTTGTTCGATGCATGCGACTGCATTGTAGTGCGTATTGTTGTCTGTGTCCGTTGTTTCGAGTGTGGCTGATTGTACTGTGTAGTACGTTGTTTGATTGGTGACATATTGTATTCAACTATTGTGGAGTGTGCATACTTGTGTATTGTTTTGATCTGCCATTATTGAGAATATAATTTTGTTTTGTTTATCAACTCTCGGCTCTGACTTGTTCTTTGGGCCACAGCCGGCGTCCGCTGGCGCGTCAAAAAGGACCACTTCTAAATTGTCCACGCTTTCGTGGTGCGGTTCGAGGGCCGATACTTCGGCCCTTGGAATTAGCCCGGCGATCGCCTCCCGAATTAACGGGACCTGTGACAAGTGTGCATAATACGAAGTTCGCATTCGGGGTCGAATATCAACAACGACGAAAACCAACCAAGCTTATGTAACACAGCACACTCGTAGCAAAGGCGAAAGCTCCGGAAGGTTTCGAATTTACAGACAAGGTAGCAAACACAATATCTATAGCAAGTTCGATAACGACGACGCTTTTCCCGACAGGAAACTATTACGCGAAGTTGATAAAGACAAGATCCCACATGCTATGTTGAGCCACGCATGGCCGAAGCCACGCGTGCACCGTAGCTGCAATCAGAGCCAGTGCAAACGCACAGTTGCCGAGCAGCATGCCATGCAGCATGCAGCATGCAACCATGCAGCATGCCAGGGTCTTCTTTCCTTTTCTTTTTATTCCCTCCGCCCTTTCTTCATTCGCTCTGTGTGCCCTCCTCCTCCATAACAACCTCGTCGCTCACTCCCCAGTGCACCTCCTTTCAGATGCGCACTTGCTACTGGATTTGTCCGAAAGATTTTCCTGCAACCGCATTGTAACCAGTCTTTCATCTTTGGGGAACAATAAGCGCTATGCATATACATGGGTTTCTATCAGAGGGTAAACGGGAGTCGATAAATACCGCATTGTAACTGGTTCTGCACTATAAGCGGTTACGTTATAAGCAGTCTACACTGTAAATAAATCTGTTCTCTTGTACAAACAATTCTCTTTTCGGCACAAGTTGAACGATAAGTCGGACGACGTGGGTCAGCTACCAATGTCGCAACACCACTGTACCAGAGTCCCAAGAACTAGAACAGCAGTGGAGGAATGCTGCTAACCATGCTTCCCCACAACGGTTAAGCTATTTGCAATAGGTACTTACGTCACCAGCTGCAAGGAGTGAACGAGCCTTGCGAACAACACCTCCTGTCTTGTCATTTTGTGTGATGACTACCAGGAGTGCCCTGTCACCGTATGCTTTCTTCAGGGTGTTCTTAGCCTGCAAAAAAAAAATATGCAGTGGAAGTGTAAACGTACTCTTCGATGAAAACATGCAGCAATTAGTCAACACTGATAAACTACTTTAAAAAAAAAATAGGCTAACAAGAAACTTAGAGAGCCAGACTGCACGAACACCTTTGACAATGGATGCTGCCCCTCCAACTCCTCCCAAGTTTGCCTTTTGAAGCTATGGTAGACCCTCAATAAATGAAAATCTGTTAAATGAAACTGCTGCTTAAGTGGGGAAACTGCCTCAGACTTGATTGGTTTCGTACTTAGACTCTGCACCCCTGTAAATAAAACTCCAGTGAAACGAAACACATTTTCCCGGTCTCTTCAGGTTTCGTTTATTAAAAGCCTACTGTACTCATTTCATTTCAGGTTGTCATTTATTTCTTTTATTTAGAGCACTGTACAATCTCCAGATGAATTAAGAACTGAGCAATGAACAATAAAATACGGACTGTAGTGTAAACTGACCAAGTAGTCCCTGTTGCGAATAATGCAAAAGATGACAATGAGGAAGCAAGAAACGAAGAAGGAAATTTTAAGGGCTCACATTTCTTTATTCGACACAACACCATAGAGAACTAACAATCTCATTAGCCCTTTGAAGGTCAAATAGTTCATGCGCAGTCACACCACTGCAGCCTGCATGGCCGCGCATTGAAGCGTAGTGGCAGACTTGCACACAGGAGATACTTTACATCGCCTGCTACATCGCTCAAGCACGCTGCTCTGTTATAGCCAGGCACCGGTCCTGCTTGTCTGTGGTAAAACAAGAGTGGTATACTCGGGTGCACTTGCGGTGCTTCGATTCCATGCACGGCGATGTAGACAGCACTGGCACTTCTCCAAGCAGCGGCAGTCTACCAAGCACTGGCGCTCCTCCGAGTACTGCCACGTTGAGCTGTGTTCACCTTAAGAGCGAACGCCACTGTATATGTACGTCCTCCGCTAACAGTCACAGGAGGGTCAAGATGAACATGCTTGTATGTTTAAAATGTGCACCTTTTTAAAACATTTGCCTTGCTAGGCATGTCCTGCCACACTGTGGGCATGCGTGGAATTTCTCGCCAGCTGTGGATGTCTCTCCTTTTTTTTATTGTGCTTTACTACAGCGGTGCGCCAGATAGTTTCAGTTCTGTTCTTCGGCCAGTTCCTGCTCGTTGCATCCACAGAACTGATGGTGTTGTAGTTTAAAATCTTTCAAAAGGCGATCGATTTGTTAATCTCTCAATCATTGCTCCTTGATAAGTGATTGAGCACGTTTCTGTTCAGGCACTGATTGACAGAAACCATGCCACTACGTTTGCATTTCCTATTTTGGGGACTCGCAAAAGCTGCTTCTGTCTAGTAGGTACTCAGACGAAGGATTATTACATGTTTCGGAGTTGTTTTGCTTTTAGGACATGCTCACAACTACACAGTTTTCTTCAGGTGCGCTCACCCATGTAGTTTGCTGTCGCTGTCGAAGTGCGTGCCGGTTTCTCTTCTGCAAGCGAGTCTAGCAACAGTCCCTACAAATCGCCATTCGAGTGCTGAAGCAGAATATGAGAGTGTAAATGTGAGCCCGTCATATGAGGTGTTGCTGATAAGTTAAAACTCGAAAACTGATGAGCGAGCGACACCTTAAGGATATCCATAGCAAGACCTTGCTGATTGGATCAAAAGCGACATTTTTCTTTCAAAGTTTCCTATTGACACCTGACACCACTTCATGCACTTATTTTTGTACGTCCATGAACAACACATACTTTTGTTGCAATGCATAATTTTTTGACATTCGCAGAGATTCTTTTATAAAACGTATCTCTCTCTCGGTCATGATTAAGCTATGTGCATATAACAACACAAGCAATCCTTTTGTCATTTTATGATCTCCTTTGAAAAATTACAATTTTTTTCTGCAATAGATTCGTCTGAAGAATTTAAATAAGTCATAAAAACATTGACCCTGGCAGATGGGGGTATTTGAAAAAATTCGACCCTCAAAGGACTAAATAATTTAAATCAACAGGCTGGATATGCCATCTGTCACCACAGTCACTCGGCTCCTTTTACCCCACCCCACCCTACCATGTGAGCACGGAGGTCACACGCAGGTGCTTACACAGCACACACCTATAACTAGACACGCGAAAAATGAAAGATACCACTAAACAGGATGGTCTAGTTCCCTAGGGCAATATACACCATGCACAGTGGTCAGTAAATTTTCTGTCTGGCAAATATATATATTTTGTTATACCCCCCCACATGGGTCTCTAGTACTTCATTGCTACAGTAGACCCCCAATATTTCTCACTCAAACTACTGGTTACCGTAATTACTCGAATCTAACGCGCACCTTTTTTCCGGTGAAGCGAGTTCATAAATCGCACGTGCATTGAATCGAGTACGAAAAAAAAAATTAATACAGTCATTCTATTGCCATCGGCATATCCAAAATGGCCGCCCCCTACGTGCGTCGGCAAGGCGTGTCGGCCATTTCTGCCTATGTGTTTCCCATGTGCGGCACTTCGTACGTGTGCTGAGGAGTTCATCATCTTGTAGTGCATTAGCATCGACGGCATGGAAGGGCCGACTCCAAAAACTCGACCAGTGCACCTTGATGCCGCTTTTAAAAGAAAAGTCATCCTGAGTGCCGAAAAGAACGGAAATCGGGCCGCATCACGGTCGTTCAGAGTTCCCAAAGCGAGCGTGCGGGACTGGCGGAAACAAAAGCAAAAGATTGTCGACAGCAAAGATTCACGCAAAGGCTTCAGTGGACCACAGCAGGGTCGGTTTCCGCAAATTTAAGCGCTGCTCGGCGAGTATATGATTGAGCAGTGAGCGGCACAGTGGCCCGTGACGACAGAACTGCTCTAAGCGCAGGCTATGCAGTTAGCCTTAGAAAAAGGGCTAATGCGGAGCCAGTTTAAAACGAGCAAGTGCTGGCTAACTAACTTTATGAAGAGGAAAGGCTTTTCCCTCCGAAGGCAAACGGGCATATGCGAAAAGTTTCCGGAGGAGTATGATGAAAAGCTTCACAGTTTTCAGAGGCCCGTTCTAAACTTGCGGCACAACAACGGCTACCTGCCTGGGCGAATCGGGAATGCCGATCAGACGCCTCTTTACTTCGACATGCCTGGTGCCACAACCATCAAGAAGTAGGGGGCGAAGCAAGTTCGCGTGCTGACATCGGGCCACAGTAAAACTAGAGTGACAGCGATGCTCCGTTGCACGTCAGATAAGCACAAGCTTCCCCCGTACCTATAAAAATTTGAGATGAAGCATGCAGATATAGCTGACTATGATCCTTTGGAACTGTAGAGTGCAAAAAACTATATAAGTTCTGTGTGTAAAAAGGTGAAATACAATAATAAAATAGAAAAATTTGCTATGGCTCTGGTTGCCAAGGGCTTTCAATGTTATGTAATTTTTGAAAAACATAATCAAGCAGCACTGACAATCTGAATAGATACTTGCACTCTATGGGGCTTCATCATGCTATGTGCAAAATTTCATAGAGGTATGACAATTCTAAGTATACGAACTAGCGTGTATAAGAAGCACAGATCACACAAAACTGCAAAAAGAGAAAAATGCATTTGAAAGTTTGAAACCTTTTTTTTTTTATCACAGAGTTGTTAGAAATGCATAATCTTTGGCCATAATGTTCAACAGAACTTTGAAAAGCACTGCAAGTTACTAGAACTGTCCTGCAGCATAGATTGTGCCCTCACGGTCCTTGCGAGCACTCTCTTCTAGCCGTGCCCTTTTCACTCCACGACGACGGTGGGCCCTTGCTTCTGCTGTCAGACGCTCGGACATTCTCTTGATGCGCCTCGCATCGCGGGAATCACTGAAAGTAACTAGATCTCTAGATGGCAGTATGTTGAGCTCTTCCAGGATGTGCTCGAAAGTAGCATGACCCTTGTTGAACCACACAAACTTAGTCTTGGGGCAAAGTAGCCAAATTTTGCTGTTCAGGGATTCCGATGTGTTCTGGGTTTTCCCTTTGATGCATCGAGCAAGGAGCTTCTCATCCGTTAGCCGCTTATAAATGGGCAAAACAGCCAATCACTGTGCTTTTGTCAGGAGAGGTGTGTGGCGTGGTGCAGGTTCACCAAGTGCTTCAGCGCGTTGATGTTTGCACCACGACTCTGTTCCTGCAGGGCAAAACTTGTGGCTGCCAGCATTGTCAGTAGAGCATGAGTGGAAGTACGAAGCCCATACTGCAGTGTACATATCCCGTACACTCCCCCTGTTGCTTGTTATGGCAATCTGATAGTATGTTTGGAGCTTCTGAATGGCTAGCTCTTTCATTTTCTGCCCTCGTGGTAATGGCACATGCAGCTTCCGTAGCGTGGTGCCAAGTCTCTTGGCCACATGATTAGTGCAGTCTTCTTTTTCTATATTGACAGCACCATAGACTTTTGACTCTGCAACTGCACTATATGCTTTGCTGTCACCGTCACTCAAGAATGTCATGAAATGCAGTGGGGTGTCATAAGTCAATGTTCTCTGCCAAATGCGCATTGCAGCCTCCGTTTCCATGGCATGGGAGGAACAGTCTGCATTTTTTTTCACAGACTGGGCCATGGAATGCCTGCCGCACTTTCTCGTCTGGGCCCATATCCTTGTGCCTACTGCATGTCAGGCAGTAATTTGATATGACCTCGAAGTCTAAGCAGAGGCCAGTATCTAAGGAGATAACTGCGCCAATCCCGTTGTGGCTTTTGTGGCCCCTCTTCTGCCAAGTGCCGTCGAACATTACAGCCACATCAATTTCGCCTGCTACTTCTTTCGTCAACTCTCTGGATCGGCGCAAGTTTTCACTCACAGCTGCCATGGCAGCGGTGTGCACCTTCTTTGCTATCGAAAAAAATCCTCGGTGGTGCATTGGCTTTGGGAGTCCAATAATGAAGCAAAATATCGACAATTGCTCATGCCCAATGCCGACAGCGCGTGCAGCCACCACCGCCTTCACATTTACAGCGAAACTCTCTCGGG